ATATATAATGTTTTGGATCTCTTTTTAATTAAATTATAAAATATATACCTTTTACATAACTGATATGTTAACCATTCCTGTTTTGATCTGGGGTCAGTGCAGTTTCCAAGAATAGCATTCATTTTTTAGCAAATATTTCTTGAGTACCTTATATATGTAAAGCACTGTACTAAGCATTGACATTGCCTACTTCTTCTTAAAGAAGAGTTTACCAAAAACTTGTTTTTCTCCCTTATCCTCAAGTTAGATTTGCTGGTACGTTTACATTGGTCAAATAGAGAGTTTACCAAAGTATTTTCTACTTAGAAAAATACACTAATATATAAATATACTTATATGCCAATCTCTAATATACCAATTTTACTTCTGTTTAAAAAAAAAAAAAGGAACAGGTTTAAATCTGAGGGGTAGGTTAGGATTTAAATGGTAATGAATAAGGAATTAATTTCTCCAGAGCCACAGTTTTTCAAAGTAGAAAATGATGGTGGGTAGTAATCGAAGGATTTATTGCTTCAACTCCTTTGAATTATATTACTAAGTATATTGTAATATTACTTCTCTTAATCTCAGCAGTTGGCTGTTAGTTCTGGGAAAATAAAGAGATAACAAGCTTAATTTATTTATATCTTATAGAATATTTTTATCAGACCAACAGATATCTACTAAGACAAGGCTTTAATTATTTGAGAAAAATCAGGGAAGCCTTAGAACCAAATGGTTTACCTTTCTTCCTAAGTTATACTGAATGGTGTACTACCAAATTATATGTTTTAAAAACTAAACAAAAAAACACAATAAATAACTAGAACACCTGTAGCCTGTTTACAAGAGGCCATTGCATTCACAGTTTCAAATTTTCATTGGACGTTGTGACATTTTCTAATCTGGACTCTAGTATTAAGTTGTTTTTTTTTAAGCAGAGGCAGTGTGGTAGTAGTGCAGCTATGTGTATCCCCTTGGCACATAGTAGGCCTTCAGTAATTAGTTTTTTCAATTAAAAATGTAAATCTACCTCATGCCATGTTTAGTATACACTGTTGTAATGGAGTAAGCACTCTGAGATGTGCTTATCCCCCTCTGAGATGTTTTTGGTTAATAATAGTTTTGACTGTGTACTGGGAGGGTGATAGAGGGAAGGGAGTTGGATGTTAACTGAGTTGGGACAGTACTATGAAATATTGGTCACTTTAAGGAACAATTTAGGAGAGTTTTAGGACTTTGGCAAAATTGATATAAGAGAAGAAGCTAAAGGTGGGAGTGATTAAAGGGCATGGTAGGGCATAAGGGAGCCAAGGGTGGTGATGATGACTGAAGTGTAGAAAGAGAAATTAAAGGAGGCAGGGAAGACTGCCTCCTTCCAAGAAATTGATATAAGAGAAGAAGCTAAAGGTGGGAGTGATTAAAGGGCATGGTAGGGCATAAGGGAGCCAAGGGTGATGATGATGACTGAAGTGTAGAAAGAGAAATTAAAGGAGGCAGGGAAGACTGCCTCCTTCCAAATGTGTTGCTTCTAAAGTCCAGACCTCTCCTCCTCTGGCCTCACGCCAGTCCCTTTCACACACATGAGAAAGAAAAATAGGAAACAATAAACTAGCTACTTGTAACTTCCAAAACTTATGATTTTCCTTTCTTTCCTTTTGTCTCCACTGTCTCCCAACAAAAGCAAAACTCAGATAACCAACTAAAAACCTGTCTTCATCTATTATCTCTGTTTTGAGTACAAGGGTACTTCAAAAGGTTCATGAAAAGATTTGTATTATCTTTTAATTCTATTCTTCCACAAACTTTTTGAAGCATTGTATTTGAGCATTTTTTTGTTTTTGTTTTTTCTTCTTATGGAAATCTTTAGAAATCTGTATGTGGATCTTTTTGGATTCCAAAAGTCTAAACATGCGAGGAAATTGATGACATTAAAGCGCTCTTTTCTTTACCAGGCTTTCAACTAGGAGCAGATATGAAGGGATTCCAGATACGGGCTTAAAAAAAAAAGACCTACCTTTTTTTCCAGTTAGGTTTTTTTTCAATTATTCGTTTTTTTATTTATTCGAAAGTCTTGTTTAGGAATCTGTTTAAAACATCTCCTATTGAGTATTTACTCTACTAGAGATGTAATAGTTGTTTAGATAAGGTGTTTGTGGTATAAAAATAATTTGATAGATTTTGTGTGTCTTTATATGATGCTTAGATTTGCTTTTTGAAAAACAATTTCAGGATTGTATTTTAACTAGTTTGTGGAATTATCTTTTAAATGTAAATTTGCTCCTTTGTATTTGAGAAATAAGAAAGTTTTAGAGATTTGTTCTCTAAGGCCTTTAACTCTTACTTTGTAAACTTCCTGAAAATGAACAGAAAAACAAACAAAAATGGTAGGAAAAAAGCATACTTGCGTGTGCACACACACATGGACACAGTATCCAGAAACTAAGAGAAAGAAAGCAGAAATAAGACATATATGAGATATGGGAAGAGATGGAAGGATGAACATTGATCTACCCATATCCTCTCTTTCTGTGTAGGGCACTTTTTTCACTTGGAAATTCTTTTCTAGGAAATAGCTTTTAGTTCTTTTTCTCCTTTAGATGCTGTTCAGATGCCCTCTTGTTTTCTTTGTCTTTAAGCAAAGAGTACAGATCAATTTTTTCTGTTATATGAATAGACATGTTTTTAAAAGTTCTCTCTTTGAGGAACATTATTTAAACTTGCAGCCTTTATTCAAAGGCTTCTTTATTTTTTACTTCTTTGTAATAAATCGTCCAAAATAATTTTTGGGTTGTCAGAATTTTGTGTATTCCCTCTGTGCTATCTGCGTTCATGTAACATGTACATTTTTGTGTGTGTATAATTTGTTTTTTTTTTTTTGTAGATAATGTTTAATGAAGAACTTGGAAATCCTTTTATTATAATTCACAGTATCTCTTTGCTAAAAGCGGAAGAACATTCGATAGCTACCCTACTTCTTCGAATAGAGAAAGAGGAATTGGATATGAAAGGAAGTGGTTTTTATGTTTCTTTGGAGTGGGTCACTGTCAGTAAGAAGAATAAAGGTAAAATAAAACAAAATTCTGAATTTCTCTCTAAGGTCGCCAGTGTTTAGTAGGTTTTGAAATACAAGGCTGTTCCCATAAATGCTTTTGCTTTTTCTTGGGAATTGTATTAAGATTCTAGCACCTGCCACTCCTGGTAGAATGAATATCTATAGTTTCTCCTCAGCTGTGGGTTACAGAAAAAAATCATAATATGCTTCCATAGCAGATTATAATCACTTTTTGTATAAAATAATGACATTATTATATAATTTTGAATAATTTAACATGTATATATTTAATATATACAAGAATATGTATATTCTTGTGACACAAGAATTTATAATATAAAACTAAGTGTAAATTAATCATAAATTACAGGGTAACTTAATTATAAATAAGTATAAATACCTAGATGGAAAGAAATACCTTTACTTCATTAAATCACAACTGTGATTTCTTTTAAATATGATTGAACTTTGATGTTTGTTTTTACCCTTAACAAAGCTGTTACTTTTTCTTACTGTTTTTCCATGTGTAAAAAAGTCCTGAACTTTGATCTATTTGAAGTTATCTATCAAGCTTCTAACTTGACATTAAAAATTACTTTCTCATGTATTAATTAGGATTTCTTAAATGGTATGAGCTTGCTCTTTGCCTTTGCTTAGTTCTTACTGACTCACCAAGTGATTTTTTTTTCTGTAGTTGAGATTTAAGGGAGCTTGTTTCTATGATAAATCTGCTCTTTTTCTTAATAGTTTTTATTAGCTTACTTATTTATAAGTAAGTTAATTTACTAGATTTTGTTCTTTGAAGTTTTTAATGTAATTTATTTGTTCTTCCCAGTGTTGTAGTTTTTCATCTCTGGAGGAACATAGTATCTTAAAACTTTAGATAAGGTGTTAGAAATTTTTTTTCTCTAAAGGACCAGATGGTAACCGTACGATCTGTGTCACAGCTATTTATGCTGTTGTCATGCAAAAAACAGCTGTAGATAATACATACACAGTAGCTGTGTATGGACATTGAAATTGATTTTGTGTAATCTTTACATGTATTTAAATATTGTTCTTTTGGTATTTTTAGCCATTTAAAAATATAAAATTTATGTTTAGCTCACAGGCCATACAAAAATAAGCCTAGATTGCCTAGATTCAGTTTTGGCTCATGAGCCATAGTTTGCAGATCTCAACTTTAGATAGTAGAAGCTTTAATTTTTTATTAAGTTACATAATTCAACATCTTGCAGGAGAAATCATCATGCATATTCCTCCTCTCCGTTTCCAAGACACTTGGTTCTGTAATACCTTTAGCCCAATCCATGGTAACTCATCAGATCGCCCCAGAACACAGTGACTACTGGAGCTCTGTTATCTCTATACCGTTCATCTTCTTTTCCTCGCCTCAATTGGACACATATATATAGACTCACCTTTCTTTTTCTTCCTAGATTCTAATTGTGGAAACATTAATTCTCTTTATTGTTCCTGTTATCTCTCTTTTCTTAATGTCTTATTATTTTTTCCCTTGTTACTATTATAATTGTATTATTCTTTCTTTTTATTTTTTAATTAACAAGACAGGGCAGTGTTTTTCTAATGTTGAGTGAAACATTTGATGAATTATATTTTATAGTCAAATAAATTTGAAAATGTGGACATATGGTATCTCCATTATGTATTAAGCATATTAAAGTTTCTAAAATTTTTGAATAAGAAATTTAATTTTAACCAAGCATTTCACAACTTATTTACCTATGGAATCCACTTTTTCAGACCTACCTGTTATTTTCTGTCCTACACATGTTAGAAAAAGCCACCCTATAAGATATATAGTGTCTAAGATTAGGTCTTTAAATGCAGGTAGTACTGTTTGCCTTGTATACATAGGTGTTTTTAGTTTATACATGAAATTACAAGGCTTTTTAAAAAATAAATATGAATTGAATGTGTGAATGTAGGTGAGGATGTAGAGTAAAAACAATGACAGATATTTTAGAATAGATTGTGTTGTTATGAATAACTCATAATACTAATATTAACATCGAATTATGATTTTTGACTACTCAGTATGAAGCTTACAAGTACAACTCACTTTAATAGAGTAACAGTATAAGTAAAGGTGTGGACTCACCTGAACTGTTGGAGTATTTTTTAAAGCAAAAGATAACTTATCTTCATAGGTGAATAAATTTAAATTTAATTTACAAAAAACTTTCTAGATGCAGTTAATTGTTTATTTCTTAAAGGTGATACGTACCACTATTTTATGTTTGATTATGGTAGGCATGTAGATCTATCTGTGAGTATAAAAATTATTTCTACTATAAACATTTCATTTTAAGAAAAACCCTTATTGGTAGTTAGAACAGGCAGAAAAACAGTCCACACCACACTTTTTCCCAATCCTCTATTTGTGGCTCTTTTCAGAAGATGCTTATCATCTACCTGCTGGGAAAGAAGACAGGCTGTAGTCAAGAAGAAAGTAGGGCTTTCAGAAGCTGATATTCCAGGTTAATTCAGTCACTTTTGAAGGTCAAGAGCACTGCTATCCATCCAATAAAAATTTCTGCTAGATAGATATGTTTTATATGTGTACATTCATTATGATGGCTTCTAGCCTTGTATATCTATTGAGCTGTTGAAATATGGCTACCTATTGTGACTTGAGGAATTGGATTTTAAATTTTACTTAATTTTAGTTAAATAACCACTTGTAGCCAGTGGCTACAACATTGGAGTGCACAATCTAGAACAATTTCATTAGACTCAGTATTTTATTTTATTTTATTTTATTTTATTTTTTTTGTCTTTTTTTTTTTTTTGTCTTTTTTCCGTGTCCAGCAACGGATCGCAACCCTTTAAATTTTACTTAATTTTAGTTAAATAACCACTTGTAGCCAGCGGCTACAACATTGGAGTGCACAATCTAGAACAATTTCATTAGACTCAGTATTTTAAAATGGGAGCATATTTACAGAAATTAGTATGTAAATTTGTTATCCTTATGAAAAGACTCAATAGTGTGCTTTTTAATAGTACATTAAAAATATTATAATTAAAATTAATATTCAGATATTTTCAGTATATTTTTAATAGCTTTTATTTGTAATATTTTGTTCTAAAATACTTTATTTTATTACAGATAATAAAAAATATGAAATTGTTAAGCATGATATTCTCCGTGGAAAGTCAGTGCCACATTATGCTGCCATTGAGCCCGATGGAAATGGTCTAATGATTGTCTCCTATAAGTCCTTCAGATTTGTTCAGGTTGGTCAAGATCTTGAAGAAAATATGGATGAAGAAATGTCAGAGAAAATCAAAGGTTATTTTACTTTTAATCTTAGTAGAGCTCATGTATATTTATGTACATACATATTTATGTTTGTTTTGTTTTCCCAGTTAAGTTATACCAGGGCAAGATGGAGCTTAATTTTTTAAAATTTTCTTTTATATTTCTCAGAAGTCTTTTTTGTAAAATATACCACCTAAATATAGTGTGTACTGGTTTTATTTAATAATTTTGTAATTATCAAAAGTTTTTTTTAAATATCTGTATGTTAGCTTACTTGTGTAGATGTTTAATACTTATTAAATTAAAAAAAAATGTTTATTTGCCTTTGGCATTTGAGAAACCATATGATAGTATTGAAGGTATTAATTTTTTTAAGCTAAACTAAGGTAAATGTTCTTAACTTTTCATGGTAAACTAAAAGAAAGCTCCCTGAAGGTATAAACACTTAAGTTTTCTCAATGTTGAATGAATGAATGAGTGAATGAATGAATGAATGAAAGTCATGTTTTAGAATGAACAGATTAACGAAATCTTTCAGAAGAAATTTATATTTGTGTACAAAGAATATATATTCTTTTAAAATTATTTAAGAGAACATCCCTCTGTAATCATTACTGATGTTCATACCCAGAGAATAGTATATTTTGCTTAACAGATTTTTATAATACTTGACAATTATGCATGTTATTCTTTGAATCTAAGGTAGATACCTTTTTTGTTAAACAACTTTATTTCACATAAAAATTAGTTTTATTATTTTGCACACTTTTTAAAAAGATGAATTATTTGAAAAATATTTCCCCCATGTTTATAAATATATGCTCTCCCAAATTAAAAATAGTTTGCTTGGTGGCCTTTTATTTAGTCTTACACTTTGATTTCCTCATATGTGATGTGTTTTTTGTTAGATTATCTCTAATGAATTCCACTGTCCTGTCTTAATTATAGTGTTAAACTTTCTTAAATCTTAGCCAGAATAGGTATTCATATTGCTAGACTACACGCCTTTAGAACTACTTTGGTGAGCAGTTGCAAATGAGTGAATGAATCCTTAGTCTTTGGAACCATTCTGCCTAGATAGCTAGGACCAAGTAGTTCTGAGACAGATTGTAGCATAAGTGGGACACGGCATGTGTTTAAATCACTTACTACCAGTTCAAGTATTGTTTTTCTTGTTGACACTTCCTGTTATATCCTGAATTCTTCCTGAATTTATTATTTATTTTGTCATAAGATTTTCAAAATAATAAAGAAAAAGCATTGTAATATTTTAAAATTATGGATAGTTTGTTAATTAGCATACTAAACACTTCTGAATATACATACTGGTTTCATTTTCTGTAAATCTCAAGAAGATTGATATTGTCTATTTGCTGTTTGGTATTGTTATAATGTAAATAATAGTGTTTTCTTAAATAAAGACCTAAAACACAATTGCTGGAAGGCATAGAAAGGCATTCAAAGAAACCAACAATCAAGAAAGTTATTTAGATGTTTGTATACTTTCAGTGGGAAAGGGATTAAAAAAATTCTAGCCTTCCTTTTATTCTGCTTCCATGGCCTTTAATTTATGATAAAAGCTCATGTGATTTTGTAAACGACTCCTATCCCCATTATCTGTCAGAAGGTATCCATCGAGTGATGGTTATGTATAAACTGCCTTGTTAGCTTTTGAGGAGACATATTGTATTTCTTTGAACTAGGAATCCACTCTTTATGTGTATGCGTGTGTGTGTGTGTTTGTGTGTGTGTGTGTGTGTGTGTAAGGGAAAGAGGAAGAAGGAAGGAGGGAGAGATAAAAGAAGGCAGAGAGGGAAGGAATGGGGATGAAGGACGGCTGTCATTAGTATTTTATGAGTGCTTATGTCGTGGTACATTAGGTAAGCCTGGAAGAGGAGAATGTCGAGTGTGATCACTACAACTCTTTAAGTGAAAATTCCCCAAGGAGGTCTGTTTGTTTATAATTACATTTTTGGGAGATGATCACTAGAAAATATGCTAAGATTCTTCTAGATAGGTGTTCTCTTGTATGTTCTGTTCTCTAATTCTGTATGTTGTAGTCTCTAATTTTTTTTTATATATAATACATTTTTCTTCTCCCAATAGAGCCTCTGTATTACTGGCAACAGACTGAAGATGATTTGACAGTAACAATACGGCTTCCAGAAGACAGTACTAAAGAAGACATTCAAGTGCAGTTTTTGCCTGATCACATCAACATTGTGCTCAAGGATCACCAGTTTTTGGAAGGAAAGCTCTATTCATCTATAGATCACGAAAGCAGTATATGGATAATAAAAGAGAATAATAGGTATTTCTATAGTTTTATTTATATATTGAAAATTTCTTTTTTTTTCTTTTCTTTTTACTCTTTCCACAGTGATTACATCAAAGGTGAATACAATAGTTCTGTCTATATTGCTGATTATTTTTCTTAAAATAGGTTAAAAATGGAATTACTGTGTCAAAGAGCACAATTGTAAGATTAAAGATTAAAAAATCCCAGTATAAGATTAAAGGTACTAGTATAGTTATCACCTGCAGTATATGGTAGTCTGGATACAATATTAAATACAACAACAACAATAAGAAGAAGAAGAATAGGTGAAAATGGTTATTTATTTTAATTTGCACTTTTTAGACTTTTTAATAGAAATTTCTTTCTATTAATTTTTCATTTATTGACTACATAATACATTTTCATTCATTAAAATTTAAAGTATATAAAAGGTTATATATTTTCCAACCTTGGCCTGCCTGCCAGTCACCCATCCTCCCATACCCACAACCACTGTTAGTAATTTCCTTTCAGAGTTATTTTATATAAATTCAAGCTGCATGTATATTTTTTCTGTTTTTATTTTTTAAGAAAAAAAGGTTTTTAACACATACTACATAGGTATACAGCTTGCTTTATTTCACTTTCAGCAATAAATCTTGGAGATCTTTTCATAAGGAACATATAACAGCTTTTAAATCCATTTTTATGGCTTCGTGGTATTTTACTCTATCAACTGCACCATCATTTAAAAAAATTGTTTCTCTATTGGACATTTAGATTCTTTCTTTTTTTTTTTTTTCCTTTTTGTCTTTTTTCGTGTCCAGCAACGGATCGCAACCCTCAGTGTTGCGCCCGTACCGGACCGGGACCAGCAATGGGATCGCAACCCTCGGTGTTGCTCCCACACCTCGCTCAGCCAGTGAGCGGGAACCGGTCTGTATGTGGGATCCGAACCCTCGGCGGGAGCGCCACCACACTCCCAAGCGGCGCACTGTAGCAGTGCGCCACCGGGCCAGCCCAACATTTAGATTGTTTCTAATCTTTTGCAGTGAATAACTTTCGTGTGTGTGTGTATATATATATATATATATATATATATCACTTCACATATATAGAAATATATATGAAGGATAAATTCCTACAAGTGGAGTAAGTAATATTTCTTTGAAAATTGTGGCAAATAAATTTTTTCTTATGTGAATGGCCATTTACATTTCTTTTGTAAATAGTGTGTTCAGAACACCAAAAAAGAAATATATGATAAATTGGACTTCATCAAAAGAAAAAATTTTTGCACATCAAAATTTAAAATTTCTACTCTTCTAAAGATACCATTAAGAAAACGGAAGGCAGGCTATGGACTGGGAAAAAGTATTCACAGTTCTTATATCAAAACAAAGGACTTGCATTTTCAGTGTATAAGGAAGCCCTATAAATTAACCAAAAGACAACTCCATTTTAAAATGGTCAAATGATTTGAATAGAAATATCACTGTAGAAGATACCTGAATGGCTAGTAAGCACATGAAAAAGTGATCATCATTAATCAGTAGAGAAATTAAAGCCAGGATGAGATGCCAATGCATGTTTAAATCTAAAACGATGGGCAGTTTCAAGTATTGATAAAGATGTAGAATACCACGAATCTGTGCATTGCTGGTGTGAGCGCAAAATCATACAATCACTTTGGCAGATTGTTTAGCAGTTTCTTATCAAGTTAAACATGTGCCTACTTTGTTACCCAGCAATTTTACTACACGTTTACCCAAGAGAAATAAAAATATGTTAAAAAACAAAACAAAGCCAAAAGAAATTTAATGGAAGTATATTCATAGCAGCTTTACTATAAAAGCCAGTTGCTAGAAACAACTCTAATGTTCATGAAAAGGTGAATGGATAAATACATGTAGTATAGTCATACAATGGAATGCTACTCTGCAATAGAAAAGAAAAATTACTGATAAACATAGCAATATGAGTGAATTAAAAATGTGGAGTGAAAGAAGCTAGAGACAAAAAAAATGTACACGATCTATGATTTTACATTTATGGAGTTCTAGAACTGGCAAAACTAATCTGTGGTGATAAAAATCAGAACAGTGGTTACCTTTAGGGTATTAGGGGGATTAACTGGAAAAGGGTATAAGAGAATTCCTTGGATGGTGGGAATGTTCAGTATCTTCAGTGAGTTACACAAGTGTATGCATTTATCAAATTCAGTGAATTCTACACTTAAGATCTGTGAATTTTGTTTATATATTACACCTCAATAAATGGAGTAAGAGTACTGTTTATAAAGATGAACAAAGTTAACCATCTTATAAAACTAATCCTCTGTCCCTACTACCATGCCTCTTTGCAAATCTATTATACTATATACTTCACCCCAATCATTTGGATTGATACATTGAGTTTTTTTCACTATAGATCATCTCAGTAATTATTGAACGGTTACAGATTAGTGAATAGTACTAGGCACTTAATTTTTTAAATGGTCAAATTTGGTCAGAAATGGATATTTGGTTGGTTTAAAATATACCTAAATCTTTTGATTTCAGTTAATGTTGCATAAAGGATAAATTACTTATTTTTAGACAAACTATAGTTCTTGATTAATAGTATATAATCCACGTGAGTCTGATAAGAGTCTAAATCATGGGAGTCTAAGAAATGTATATTTAGTTCAGTGAAACTTTTCAGTTTTAAAAGCAGGTATCCCGAATTTAGTTTATTAATGGAGACATTTGGTGACTTGGTTACACTTTTTAGTATATCAGAGCCAATTTATCTGACAGGTTTTTTTAAAAATATTTTATATCTCCACATGTTCTATCTAATCAGTGTGTATGTGGAAGATTTATGGGTGGCATTTGTAACTTGGCAAACCACCTAGAACACATCGTTCATATTGTTCGTGTCGTTCAATGTAGATCATCAAACATGACACCAGTAAAGGTCTAGAGGAGTAGCTGGATTTCATGAAAATAATTTCAGCATTCAGTATATGAACATAGACCAGTATTGTTTTTCTACTAAACTTGAGGCGTTTGATACTATTTTGTGTTGCAGAAGATAATTATAATGAGATGTAGGTGGTATCATTGGTTTAAAAACTCATTTCCTGTACTTGATTAAATTATTCATCTCTCTCATTTTCAAATAGTTAATGTTCTCTGTCACTTTGGAAGGATGTGTTAACTCGTCTGTAGATTATTGTGTATGGCATTGTATGATCCTTTTTGCTGGGATGGTAGGATAGGATACTAGTTTTAAAATGTAGAAATGCAGTCATGCTAAAAGAGTTGGATTGACTAGGTGTTTAATTTAATGATGGTTTGGAAATTCTTTGTAACTGAGATTTATGAACTTTTTCAAACCTCTTTAGGTAGTAACTAAGAATAGTATTTATACATTTTGGTGACTAGGTAAAAGTCCTTTAATAGTTATTTACATATATTTTTTCAGAGAGACAGAATAGTGCAGTAGTGAAGAACATGGACTTGGAGCCACACTGCTTTACTAGCTTGTGACCTTGGCAAGTTACTTAATCTCTCGGTGCTTTTTTTTCTTACTTGTATAATAGAGATGATAAAAGTACTTTATTTGGTTGTCGTGGGCAATAAATGAGTTAAAACATGTATAGTAATAAGTTAAAACATGTAAAGAACTTAAGACAGCACCTGGCATATGGTAAGCATTAGGTAAGTATAACCTGCTGTCATTATTATTATTATTATTATTATTGTTATTATATATGTTATTATTATTATGAATCTTCATCATCATTATTATTATCAAGATTAACATTTTTCCTTGGAAAATATAACTAAATCTGGTCATTATTGATAGTGTGGTAATTTTCAGTGCTAATAATAGGAACTCATATTACATAAAAATGATATTATTTTGAATAGTCTCTTAAAATAAGTAGTTTCAGAAAATTTTAAAATGCTGTAATTAGTTCATGAGGTGGTGATAATAACAGCCTTGAAAAAGAAGAGCTGTTAAGTTTACATGTTCTATTTGGTAATTATGATAATAGTTATTATCGTATTGTTGCAGTTATTTGCTTGCAGTTGTTCCAGGGCATGGGTTAGTGTGGTGCACATGTACCAAAAATGGCAGATGGAAAAGGTGCTTTGCTGTGGAATAGTAGCCATCACTCCACTTTTCCTTCTGTTCCACAGGAGCATGGGCCAACTTCCCGATTCTCTTGTGTCCGTAGTCTACCCTGACTCAGGTCTCTTTCCCTTTCCTGCTCCATCAGTCTTTCAGTGTTCCCTAACAGGTCCTTTTTAGTGCATTTGGAACTTGTGTTTAATGGCATAAATGTACAAATTAGCTTTTAAATAAATTAATGGAGACAAAGTAACATTTTTTTTTCCTGTACTACCAAGTTTAATTTTTTCCTAATTTCTACATTTTTTGAATTCTTTAAATCTGTATTTTAAAAATTAACGTTTGCATTGATATAACCTGCCCAATCATTAGATTAATAATCATATATTATGGCTATTAGTTTGTGAAAACAAAGTAATTGTTCCACACTCAAAGCGGTACTCTTTAGTTACAGGCTCTTTCCAATTTGTTTTAAATGCCCACCCCAGCCCTATTCCCCAGATGTCTCATCCATCCATCCTGCTTGCATTTCTTGTTACTTAAGTTCAGGAACACAGTGCACACCTGCACTACTATACTTTCTGTGTGGTCTCACTCTTTCTAAATCTTCCCTCTTCAGTCCATCTGATGTATCATTTCCAGTGGTGCTTTATTGTTTGTTTATTAAAACTAAATTATTTACCCTTAGATTATAGGTTTTTCATCAAATGCAAAACTAAAATGAACAAGATTTCTGGTAAAACATTCTCTGGACTTCTGAGGGATAATTTCTGTAGAAGAGTCTTCTGTTTGTTATTGACTATATAATTTGTGTAGTTGCTTAATGTAACATAATTTTCCCCACTTAAACTTCAGCTTGGAGATTTCTTTGATTAAGAAGAATGAAGGACTGCCATGGCCAGAGCTGGTAGTTGGTGATAAACAAGGAGAACTTATAAGAGACTCAGCCCAATGTGCTGCAATAGCTGAACGTTTGATGCATTTAACCTCTGAAGAACTGGTAAGCAATTGCAATAGTACTGTGACTTTCCAAGGACCCAAAAGTATGTTATGTGAAGATTATGCCATGTTTTCAAACATGTTTTTGCTTTCTTCATGTAAAAGACACAGGTACAGGTACTACTGACCTTGACTGATGTTTGAATATGGCTTAAAATTCAATACTCATTTTTTACACTATGTAAATATATACATATATGTGTAGGCATATTGTGTAGGATGTGTATGTGTGTATGTATATATGTATGTGTGTGTGCATGAGTTTATGTATAATATATATTCTCTAGAAGAATCAACTGACCAGTGTTGGCAGTTGACAAAAATTATAATTTTATAGTCCATTTGTTAGTAATCTATTTATCATCATTGAAATATCCATATGTATATATGTATGTGTGTGTGCATGAGTTTATGTATAATATATATTCTCTAGAAGAATCAACTGACCAGTGTTGGCAGGGACAAAAATTATAATTTTATAGTCCATTTGTTAGTAATCTATTTATCATCATTGAAATATCCTCGGTGATATTAGAGTATTGTAAGGATATATATATATATCATATATAGTTGTTATTTTTACTAATTAAGTAATTCATTGTATTGATGACAGTTACAAGACAGTACTCAACCATGAGGATGAATATGTTCCCACTCTAATGATTTGCAGGGTTATGTTAAGAATTTTTTTCCCCCTGCATATGGCTTTTCTCATAATTTTTAAACCACTGTATTTGGACAATTTTTTTTTTAATTGAAAGATAATTGGTTGTACATATCTGTAGGGTACAGTGTTGAATATGAGCGCCTGTATGCAATATGTGATGCTCAAATCAAGATAATTAGTATATTCAGCATTATGCAATGAAATCATTTTTGTGACCTTTTACCAATTTCTCACTAACCTCCCCCTTTGCCACCTGTGGTAATGTCAGTTCTGTTCTGTCCTTTTGAAAGTTCAGCATATTATTGTGATTGTTGTATCTTTCTTCTTTTTTTTTAATTTTAATTTTTAATTTTTAATTTTTTTAGCTCCCACTTGTGAGTGAGGACATGCAGTATTTCTCTTTGTCCAGTTTATTGCACTTAACATAATTTTCTTTAAGTTCATCCATGTTACTGCGAATGGCAAAATCTCATTCTTTTTTATGGCAGAGTTAGTATTACATTGAGTATATATATTACATTTTCCTTATCCAGTTGTCTGTCGATGCACATTTAGAATGAGGACTACAAAATCACCACTAAACGATTAAAGAGTATAGAAAAGGTAGAAAGATATTCCATGTTCCTGGATTGGAAGAATTAACATTGTGAAAATGCCCATATACCTAAAGCAATCTATAGATCCAATGCCATCCCTATCAAAATACTAATGACGTTCTTCACTGAAATAGAAAGAAAAAAATTCTAACATTCATATGGAACAACAAACGACTTCAAATAGCCAAAGCAATCCTGAGCAAAAAAAATAAAGCAGGAGGCATTACACTACCTGATCTCAAATTATACTACAAAACTGTAGTAACCAAAACAGCATGATACTGGCATAAAAACAGAAACTCAGACCAATGGAACAGAATAAAGAACTCAGAAATCAACCCACAAACTTACAGCCAACTGATCTTTGACAAAGGCACCAAGAATCTACACTGGGGAAAAGACTGCTTCTTCANGTATGTATATATGTATGTGTGTGTGCATGAGTTTATGTATAATATATATTCTCTAGAAGAATCAACTGACCAGTGTTGGCAGTTGACAAAAATTATAATTTTATAGTCCATTTGTTAGTAATCTATTTATCATCATTGAAATATCCTCGGTGATATTAGAGTATTGTAAGGATATATATATATATCATATATAGTTGTTATTTTTACTAATTAAGTAATTCATTGTATTGATGACAGTTACAAGACAGTACTCAACCATGAGGATGAATATGTTCCCACTCTAATGATTTGCAGGGTTATGTTAAGAATTTTTTTCCCCCTGCATATGGCTTTTCTCATAATTTTTAAACCACTGTATTTGGACAATTTTTTTTTTAATTGAAAGATAATTGGTTGTACATATCTGTAGGGTACAGTGTTGAATATGAGCGCCTGTATGCAATATGTGATGCTCAAATCAAGATAATTAGTATATTCAGCATTATGCAATGAAATCATTTTTGTGACCTTTTACCAATTTCTCACTAACCTCCCCCTTTGCCACCTGTGGTAATGTCAGTTCTGTTCTGTCCTTTTGAAAGTTCAGCATATTATTGTGATTGTTGTATCTTTCTTCTTTTTTTTTAATTTTAATTTTTAATTTTTAATTTTTTTAGCTCCCACTTGTGAGTGAGGACATGCAGTATTTCTCTTTGTCCAGTTTATTGCACTTAACATAATTTTCTTTAAGTTCATCCATGTTACTGCGAATGGCAAAATCTCATTCTTTTTTATGGCAGAGTTAGTATTACATTGAGTATATATATTACATTTTCCTTATCCAGTTGTCTGTCGATGCACATTTAGAATGAGGACTACAAAATCACCACTAAACGATTAAAGAGTATAGAAAAGGTAGAAAGATATTCCATGTTCCTGGATTGGAAGAATTAACATTGTGAAAATGCCCATATACCTAAAGCAATCTATAGATCCAATGCCATCCCTATCAAAATACTAATGACGTTCTTCACTGAAATAGAAAGAAAAAAATTCTAACATTCATATGGAACAACAAACGACTTCAAATAGCCAAAGCAATCCTGAGCAAAAAAAATAAAGCAGGAGGCATTACACTACCTGATCTCAAATTATACTACAAAACTGTAGTAACCAAAACAGCATGATACTGGCATAAAAACAGAAACTCAGACCAATGGAACAGAATAAAGAACTCAGAAATCAACCCACAAACTTACAGCCAACTGATCTTTGACAAAGGCACCAAGAATCTACACTGGGGAAAAGACTGCTTCTTCAGTAAATGATGCTGGGAAAACTGGACATCCACATGTAGAAGAACGAAGCTAAACCTGTATCTCTCACCATATACCAAAATCAACTCAAAATGGATTAAAGACTTAAATATAAAACCTGGGACTTTAAAACTACTAAAATAAAACATAGGGGAAACACTTTGGGAAGTAGGACTTAGCAAAGACTTTATGAATAAGACTCGAAAACATAGGCAGTAAAAGGAAAAATAAACAAATTGGATTATATCAAATTAAAAAGCTTCAAACTAAAAGCACAGCAAGAGAAACAATTAACAGAGCAAAAAAACAACCTACAGAATGGGAGAAAATATTTGCAAACCATGCATCCTACAAGAGATTAATAGCTAGACTATACAGGGAACTCAAACAACAGTAAAAAAATAAGTAACCCTATTAAAAAATGGGCAAAGGAGCTGAATAGGCATTTCCGAAAGGAACCTGTACAGATGGCCAGCAGACACATGAAAAAATGTGCAACATCACTCAGCATAAGGGAAATGCAAATCAAAACCACACTGAAGTATCATCTCACCCCAGTTAGACTAGCTGTTATCAGAAAGACAGAGAATAACAAGTGCTAGCAGGCATGTGGAGGAAGGGGAACTCTCCTACACTGTTGGTGGGATTGTATATTAGTGCAGCCATTATGGAGAATGGTATGGAGGTTCCTCAAACAAGTACAAAGAGAACTGCCATTCGATCGAACAATCCCCCTGCTGGGTATATACCCAAAAGAATGGAAATCATGTTGAAGTTGACACGAAATTGAGCAGTACATCAGAATTTCAGTTATGTGTTTATTTACTAAAAATTATATCAGCATATGTAAAATGTCTGATTTATTGTCATCTGGAATTATAGTGATGAGGAAGACTGTATGAAGAATTATATTGTAGGGTTAGTTTCATTCTAAGGTGGAAAAGAAAAATTAGAATACCAAAAGTTAATCTCTCTGTAAGAAAGAAACATTGCCAAAATAGAGAAACCAAGTTTCATGTTTGTCAGCAGTAATTGAAAATTTCAGTAATCACTGGAATTCATAGGTAGGACTACAGAACTCTTATTCTTATCCCTGTTTTCAATAAGCCATAGAGACCATATTGCCTGTTTTCAGCAAGTATTATGATGGGCTCTGGGGATATGTCTGGCTGCAACAAAGGCTACTGTGAGGCTAAGGCTGATGTCATAAATCGTGCTCACAGTGCCAATTGTCTAGCTCTTAATCCTGTTCGTGACACCAATTGTAAAGCTAGGCAACCATGCTAGTTGTTGCGGCTCTTTAACCTGTCGGTAATCCTGCACCGACTGGACCAATAGTTGAGTTAGGGCTGGGTCTGGAGTTCCCAGACCCCTCAAGCCCATTCACAGACTGTGTCAAAAACCCTTGACATGCCAGGCTGGGTCACCAGACCCCTCCACGCCAGGCTGGGTCACCAGATGCCTTCACACAGGTCTATGAGCTAGGTAACCAGCCACATGGTCCTTGGAAGCTGCAGGTCTGGAAAATCATGGCCATGCAGGGCGGGCACTCTAGGCAATAAAACACCAGCCAAAGCAGCGCCACCATGCAGGTGACTTACTCCACCCACACACACAATTTTACCGAATCACCCTGAACCAGCTCAGAGGTGAAGGGGAGCCTGACCAAACTGTTCAATTTTCCCAACAATCCACCCCTTCAGGGTCCCTCGCCATACAGTCTACACATTCAGAATCTTCTGCAGTGTTCCCTTAGTGAGGATAAATGACCCTTACATTTACATAACCTATTGTCCGTTCAGTATGCCTTAAGGCTTGCAGTTCTGTCCTTTTAACTGTTAGCTGCATATGTCCAGTTAGTAGTCACCATTGGTGTGATCCTCCATGCAAATCCTGCAGTCGTACTGATGGGCAGTTCAATGCATATTCGGTAGGCCTACATGTTGATCACATGACTCTGGTGCAGTGCCTGCAGCCAGAACACTATGGGTGAAAAGACAGAAGAGTTATTGGTACCAATAGGGGAAGTT